TTGATAAGTGAAATTTAGAAGCTCCAAATATGTTTGTTGAAATTGCTTAGATGCAGCAGGAGCAATGCAACATAGTAAAAAGCTTCTATGTCTTAGTCTTTAGTTCACTGCAGGCCAAAGAAAAAGTCTTCAGCTCACCAAACATAGTCTAATTTACATTTTTCCTGAATAAAAGACAAGGGCACCATCTTAAATGGTTGGTAACTTGGTACAAGGATCTATCTGACATTTTTGGAGCAAAATATCCTCTCACAACTGTTATAGCTTTTCTAAGATGAGATCTCTGAGGTAGCATTTCCTGTCTCTCTTGGTACTTAAGAAAATGGACGGCAAAGATTGGTGGTTCTCTGGCATGGCTGCTGCTATTATCAACCCAAAATCATGTCAAATGCCTTGCTGGTCTTAGCATGGCGATGGTGCTGTTTAGATTTTTTTTGGTCGGTGTTGCTGTTTAAAATTTGTTGTTCAAACTTTAAGTGTTTTGGTTTTTTAATTTGTTAATATTCCTAGCAGATATTAGGCAATTTAGGTGAAAATGCTTCTTATACATCTAAATGGTAGGCCAGTTTTTAAGTATTTTTATGCATATTTCCTCTCCTTTCTGCACCCTGCCATTGAATAATATGCATTACATCTGCTAAAAGTGTGAGAGTTCACGAATCACTCTAGAATACTTCTGCCATGCAGCATTCAAACATGGGTCACTTGGATTTAGGACTGTGTTTGAAAGGTCAAAATGGCAACGGCCACAACAAAGACCAGGGAAAGACAGCAGGCTCAGACGGATTCTGGAAGATGGATCAACAATAAATCGGATTTTGCCAGTCAATGCTTGTGGATACTTGCCTTGTAATTAATTTCGTAGAATATAGTATTAGGCTTAATTTGTGGCAGTTAGCACATAATATTAATAGTCATCTAATGAAAACTTGATGTCGTTCCTGTAATGGTAACCTTTAAACTTCAATATGTTATCTTTACCTACGCAACAACAGTTTTTCTGTAATCTGATCACCAGGGCAGATGGTTCATAGAAATTATCTTTTTATCTCTGCAGGGTGTGGATCTGATTATTGCAATTATTACCATCACGAACGGTATTACGCAAACTGGAAAGCTCAGCAAGTGCACATTTCCACATTTTAGGCCAATTTACCCGCTGAATCGGTGCTTACTCTCACCAAGTTTCTTTGACAACCGTTTTTTATTTTTCTCTTATAAATGAAAGTATTAAGATTTAACATGCAAAACTGCACACCTCCATTGCAGCAATACTAACATTTTTCATTAATTTAAGATAAAAAATGAAACCTAACATAAATATAATAATGCTGGCGATAGCAATGGACTCTTAATGGTTATAACCATTCAATTCAAAACTGCATATATATATCTGTTGAAGAGGGAGAAGAGGGTAACGTATCAAAAACCCACTTGTGGCATCTTTTATGACATTAACTGGTGGGATAAACAGGTTATAGAAGGTGGCAAAAAAATTACTAATGAACATCTCTGAAAGACTAATCTAACAAGAAAACCTCATGTATCATTCTTACAAAACAGATAAACAGAACTCTAAGAAATATGTGCTGCCGCAACTCTGTCCATTCCTACCTTCAAGCATCAGATCCTTTCTCACCTCCATCACTCGCGGATGTATCATTATCTGGTGCTTGAGTGACGCCAACTTCAGCTGGCCGAATAACCCTATCATAAAGCATGTACCCAGCCTGCAGTACAGAAGAGAAATAAGCAATCTATTGCAGACTTGAAAATCTAGATCAATAAGCTGGTGCAACAACATTAAATAGGTATCTTTTCCTGCAATATTGCCAAGGTGGTGGTCCAGCCCAACAGAAGGGACAAAAAATTAAACAAGAAGCTTGGAAATCATATTCATTCAACCAAAGGCTTTCCAACCAAAATGAGGAAGAAAATAATACCTTCAGCACATGAGCAACTGTGCCTGGAGGCTTAGAATTATCTGGTACTTGAAAAACTGCATTATGCCTATGTGGATCAAATGGCTCATTTGCAGGATCAAATTTTTCCACTCCAAACTTTCTAAATACCTGAAAACAGAGACTTTCGGATTTGATCAGGACCAATTTAATTGTCATAAAAGCATAAATGAGATTAAATTGCAATTGTTTTACCCCTTAAAAAAAAGGGGGAAACCATAGCATATGATATGGTGCAAAAAACACATGAGCATCAAACCCTTTAGTCTTCACAGCTCAGCTTCATAGAACACCCAATATATGAGGAAGCTAGGAAGCAGTAAAGCTGAATATTAAATTTGGGTAATCTCAAAAGTTCTACCTCCGAGAGCTGCTTCTCAGTCATTTCAACACCTTCTAGCAGTGTTTTTAGAAGTGGTACAGCTCCAGTAGTGTCTTGAGATTCATCAATTTTCGAGAAACTGCCTTTGACATGTGCAGACGCCCTTCCCAAATTGTCTGCAACATCAAGCAGGCTCTTTGCAAAACTCTGCATAACATTTTCAAGTAAACATTAGTTGTGGAACTTCTGAGTGGGACAAAATAATTCATAAAAAACCTCCAGTTCCAAAATTAAAACAAGTGATCATTATAATTTATGCCAGCATGGAAACCTGTATGGCAAATTTTTTTGAGTTCTCGGCTTCACGTCTCGTTCTAGCCATAACATTCTCCATTTCTGCAAGGGTACGAACAACTTTATCTTTCATCTCTTCAATCTCCTTTTGCTTCACCTTTAGAAGCTCATCCTTCTCCGCAACAAGTTTTACCGTATCATCCATGGACAAGTCTCCATCACTCTCCGAATCTGAATCTGAATCAGAAAATGTGGTTCATTTAGTAACTCTTCTCCTTTTATTAGGTTGGGATTCAGAGTTAGAACCTGATACTTTTTCTTCAGTCCCTTCAGGACTTGTATCTTTTGTTTCACCAGAAACTTTAACATCTCCATTTGACTCCACGTTCTCTTTTCCATTCTTGTCAGAAGGCTCAGGTGATGCAGACGTGGTGAACCCAAACCGTTGGAACAAGGAAGGATTGAAGGCTGAATAATGAATCAGAGACTCATCCATTGAACTAGCCTGCAATAAGAAAGGGCATCTAACTCTAAATCATTATTGCAATTACTTCAACAAGGCAAATAAAAGAAAACCATAAGCAAAAATCATTGCTTTGACACAAAAAATCCCAAATTTCAACATCAAAAGGGATAAAAGGAAGAAGAAAACATAAGCCCAATAATTCAAAACCAAATTTGGTGCAATCTGAACAAAAACCTTAAACCCTGACAAAACCCTAGTCAAACTTAAGACAAACTTAAGAAAAAAATTCAAGGGTTCTTCTCATTTCTGTTACCCTAATTGGCGATTCGTATATGAGAGAGTGCAATTGATTGGTGAGGACCGGTGACTGGAGCTTCTTTGGAGCAAAAAGAAGCAAAGAGCGTGAGCAAGTGCTCCTGGAGACGCTTGAAAAAGCCCTGGAGATCATCGTTGAAGCTATGGAAAAAATAAAAATTTCAGGGGAAGAATCAGAAATCACAAAAGAAATTTAGCTTTTACAGGGGACGGGTTCAGAGGGAGAAGAAAGAAAACTGGGAGACGAGCTTGGAGAAAAAGAAACAGGGGTTTGGGCCGTTTAGGTTTATAGAAAGACTAAATTACCCTCTCAATATGTTTTAAACGGTGTCGTTGATTGCGCTAAAATGGATAATCTTAATATACATCTAAGGGTACCGTTGTCATTCCAGCTACTGTGTTAAGGTTTTCCGGATCAGAACTTGGAAGCATCCAGAAGATATTTGCCCGTGGCATCTCAGCCAGTCAGCGGATTAACAGAAAAACGGCGTCGTTTAAAGCCAAAATGCGTAGTTTTTATTCCATTGCTCAAGAACATCACCATAGAAAGCTGAGGAAGGGATCTGAGATTTGGGAATGTTAATTACAGCATCAAATATTTCAACACATCCGGCCATGGTAATCTAGAAAAGGGTTCAGGAGGGGCCCAAAAATGTGGGCATTTGACACAATCACTGAACCAATGTATAAATGTTTTTCTATGATGATTCTTCTGCGGCTACTGCTTCTGGTTTGGCATCTTCAAGGTAATCATGTCTGTAAAATGTAAACCGGATGCAAAAATTTTAATCTATTTGTGTAATATTTGATGAGGATTCTGTGGAAAACAACAGCACAAATTGTAAAAAGAAGTTTATGTGTAAGAAGCTTACTTGATTTTACGTGATAGCTGATACATGCCAGTAACAGACATGGTCAGGTTGACACTAAAAAGATTCCAGTTTTTCTGCAATTAGAATCAAAAGTGTGAAAATTTGCAATCAATTGTGCAAAGTAGATAAGATTAATAAAATGGTAACTATTTCCTATTTGCACCGGAGAAAAAAAAAAGGGGGAAACTGTTTAAGTTAGAGCTGTGGAACCTCTAATCATATACTTCCCAGAAACCTAAACTACTATTTAGAAGAAGCCTACTGATTAGTGATTAACATTCTCCCAAGGGCAACAGTGGTGAAGAAAGGAATTCTACCAAAATATATTCTCCGTTCTCGGTACATCTTCTGTGTAAGAATCTCACTAAAGTGTTTCTTTGTTACCAAAAACTATACAGTCTTTAATTCACAGTCAGGATTGTAATCATCCAAACATGATAATTTTGTCATCAAGTTCAGGTCACAAGCTCAATCTCTCATTTCAAATTGATAGAATTCAACACAGTTACGAAACGCAATCAAGTAGTCAGTGTCAAGGAAGCTTATAATCATCAAGAAACATTTACCATAAGAGTAAAGACACAATCAGTAAGGGATGATCGATTTCAAAACATTGTTATGTTGCAGAACAACACTCTCATAACAAAACAAACCCTGTGACAATTAGTATACATTAAGCTAGAAATTAAAAATACCGGGATGATGACCATGCCATATCGCGCCCAAATAAGTCCAGAGCACGCAACAACTGCATTAATCACAACAGCTGAGGTAAGACTGTGATTTGTAGTAACAAAATAATTCAGGAACAACAACGGGGGAATATGACAGATTTTGAATGAAATTGGTAACTATAGTAACCTTGGTTTGAGACATGAGAGCATACCTGCTTGCATGGGATAAGAAATCTTTTCTGGTGGCTTTGAGAAGTCGGAAATATTTGCTATGCTGATTCCCCATTTAAAAGTTGGAGCCCAAAAATGAACTGCAAATTATACTTATTTTACACTCAAAACATGCCCCAAATTATGAAAATAAAATTAATTAACATAATCCATTTCCTAAGCAACACACAGGCATAATTGAATTTCGATTATTATCAACAAGAACCCAAAACCCAGATGGGATAAGCAATTTAATCCCTCTAATTAAGAAGTAAGCAGGAACCATATATGAAGAAAGCAGATAAATTTAGATGATGAAATAACAAAAAGGAAGTAAAGGATTATGTTTTGTGATTCGATCAAAAAAGAAAAGAAGGGGGAAAGAGCAGTAACTGGTTTTAGGACCGGCTGGGTGGTTCCAAAAAGCTTGGAGCTTCGAAGATGCCATGAGATCTTTCTTGTTTGTAAGAATGGGTCAAACGGGGAAGAAGAAAAGAGATGAAATGATTCCGTAGACGTATCCTGTTGAAAGTGGGACCAATTGAAGGTTCGGCCGTTGGCAGCCAATTGTTGGAGAGGAACTTCTTCTCACATTCAGGGTTTTGCCACTTCGAGATGTGCTGTATGGATCATTCTTATTGGAAGATGAGCAATGCTAGAGGCACTCGCCTCCTGCACTCTCCGGCCAACACTTTCTCTTTTATTGGGCCACGTTATGTTGGTTCGGAGAGGTTGCGCGTGAAAGCTTTAAAGAAGCTTACGTGGCCCAATGAAAGGGGAAGTGTTGGCCGGAGAGTGCAAAAAGCGAGTGCCCCTAGCACTGCTCTTGGAAGATTCGGGACGCACTTTTTCGTTCGAGTACTAAAATTGGAAATACGTTTCGAAACCGAAATAATAATTATTTTAGTGATGTTATAAATATACAAAATAATATATTATTATATAATTAATTTTTATTTAAAAATATAATTATAATATTATATTTATTTATTTATTTTATATCACATTAAATTTATTTAATATCATTTATAATACTCTTGTGACATATATGTTCAGACTTCAGAGTGTAATAATACTTTTTCTAATAAGATTTAAATGTCTTACTTTATCTATTTATAATTACAAAAAATTCATTTATTACAATAATTACTCTCTTCATTAAACGTTTTGTAGATCTTTTTTTTTTTGTTTTATAAAATGCAGATGTAATAATTTATTAATAAAATTTCATATTTATTTTTAATTAAGT